TCCCCTCTGCCAATGCCCAAATCGTCTCTGCCAATCCGTATGACAAAACCGCTTGGCACCACTTTTGCTCTCGGCAGAAAATCGTTTTTGTCCCTCACGCTCCGCATATATTTTTTTCTTTTTAATTATATTAATTATATTAAAATAAACTCTCCCCCAGGTCACCCCCCCCCCCCACCCGGCCCTCCTCCCTCCCCTAGGGCGCCCTCCCCTCCCTCCGCTCCTTGTCTCTCCCTACCGCTCGCCTCCCCCCCCCTCCTCCCGCTCCCCCCCTCCCTCCCTCCCTCCCCCCTCCTCCTCCCCCCGCCCCTCCCCTCCCCTCCTCTCCCCCTCCCCTCCCTCACCCCCCCTTCGGCGGCCCGTCCCTCCCCCCACTCCCTCCCCCCCCGCCCTCGTCTGCCCTTGCTCCTTTTCCCCTTGCGTTTCAGGTGTTTGCCCTTCGCTGTTTTTCCTTTTCCTCCCCTCCTCGGTGTTTTCCTCCTGTTTTTCTCCGGGGGGGGGGCGCGTGTTGGTTGGTGGGCTTGTGTGTGAGTTCCCGTCTTTTTTTTTTTTGGGTTTGTTTTTCCTCCCTGGGGGGGGCGGTTGTGTTGTTGGGCAGATTATTAACTTGTATACTAAATGCAATTATTAAACGTCGTTTAAAATTGTAATTCGACGTAAAAAAGGATATAAAACGTCGAATACCCCAACGTTAGACGTCAAAATGTTAGTGAATTCAATTAAAATTTGAGCGGGAGATCGAAAATTCATTCACTTTATCTTAGTGTGCGAGACCCTCTTCTCTTCTAAAACTTTTCTCCAACGAAGTTTGACGACCATCACATGTAATTTTTCTTTCATTTGATACAAATACATTTTATTTATGATTTTCGTTTGTTTTGACCGATTATTTTCGTGTTTTTGGTCTTCATAGGCACATTTTGTTTTCTCTGTCACCGGTGAGACACTTTATCCCGACGAACCCACCTTTTCAAGGTTAATTTTCGTTTTTGTTTTCGTTTGAAAAACTTATTTGTTGAACTTGTTTGTTGTTTTTTTTTTTGTTTGAACTTGTTTTTTTTGTTGTTATTGTTTTTATTGAACTTGGTTGGTTGTTGGTTATTGTTTGTTTGTGTTGATACTATGTTCCTAGTTTCTCCTTCTTGCTTTAATAAAATACCAAACACTGAATTTGTTGTTTTTATGTTTTTCAGATCTAGTAGAGTTGTAAAAAAGATCACAATTAATTAAAAAAACAAAAAAAATGATTAACGTCGTATATTAATAAAATTCGATCTTAAGTTAACATCGTATATTTACAAAATTCGGCGTTAATTTAACATCGAATTTAAAAAATTTAACGTCTCCTAATATTTATATATGTGACATGACATTGAGTCTTACCCCACATAAAGCATTTGACACCTATTTTAACCTAAAATATTAAAAGAATGAATTTATGAGTTTTTCATCTTATATGGTGTATAACTTTGTCATTTTTACTCGAGGTGAGATTCAGACTCGCATTTGAATTATTTTCAACGTCGTTCGTTTCTATTTATAGATTATGAAGCTATAAGGTTTGTTTAGTGATAGAAGTTAGAAGGGAGGGTGAGAGATGTTGTGGGTTTAACTCCCTTATAACATTAAGAAGATATAAGGTTGGTTTGAAGAGTTTGAAGGGGAGGGTGAAAAAAGGTTGTGGGTTAAGTCCCCCACTCCCAAATTTAACTTATACATTTGTTTATATTCATGAAATCTTGAGAAACTCGTATCTTTTATCATGACATAGTGAAATTTATGTTTTTATCTTTTAAAACTCATGCATCCAACAACCTTTTTTTCTACAACTATTTATGATTAGCAGTATGAGAGAGGCTTGCTCAGCGTCAAAATCACCTTATGCTAACTCAAATTTAAAAATAGTAGGTGTCGAATGCCACTTTCTTCACGTTTAACGCCACTGAGATAATACCCAACAAACATATAGTTCGCCTAACAAATCTCGAGCATGATTGTCTGGTTATTAATTATTTTTGACTTATTTAAGTTTGACTATCTTTTAAAAAAAATAATTTTAAATACACATTTTTAAATGAAATTTTATTTTAAAAGTGAAATTCACTTACTTTGTAAAAATATGTAAAGATATCTGAGTTATTTTTTTCAAACAAAAGTATTAAAAAATAACTGAATTTAATTACAAGTAATGTAGATATCACGTATTTATTTTTTAGAATTATGGAAATCTCTTATTTAAATGAATATAGCATTTGGATAAGACAATTTAATAAGATAATTCATATTTTTAAATATTTTGAAATAGTTCATGAGAAAAATATACTCTTTTGGGTAAGGAATTTTGGGAAAAAAAATTCTTTAATTTCATTTTACTCATTGGATTATATAAAATTAAAAAAAAAAAAATATGCCTAAAAAATAAGATTTGAAATTCTTTTTATTCACAAATTTATATTTTGGTCTCAAGATTTTTGATCGATTGGGTCTCGTCAATTCGATTCGACAAGTATCTATGTAGACTTGATTTTATATAGGATTAACCCAACTTAGTTTGACATGACCGGACCTGAATCCTAGGCCCAACTCAATTGAATGTGTGGGTTGGCCTTCTAACATAAACCTAGACCTCATTGAACTTGACTTGACATAGGCCTAGCCCAACAACAATAGGATCCTACCCTGACTTGGCTTGACTTAGATCCAAGTCGACTTGGCTCAACCGTCCCAATTCAAATTAAATTGGGCCTAAACAAACTTTTTTCAACTCGCCCAAGCTTACTCGACTTAACCAAACCAATGCAATGTTGGCTCGAACTTAAATGACCTGATCTTGATTAGGTTAGGAGGATTAACTCCGGCCTACCCAATTCAACTAAATGTGGGTTTACCTATACTTAAATGAATATGGACCCGTTCTAACTCCACTAAATATGGGTTTGCCTCGACTCAGCTCAACCTAAGCCTTGTTTGACTTATTTTAAAACCTTGGTCCAAGCTGACTTAGCTAAATTTAACTTGCCCCGAGACAACTCAACTTAACTCGACCAGGTCTGGTCGACTCAACTTGATTACGTTCAGGCTAACTCAACTCAACTTGAGTTTGGGAAAACTTGACTTGGTCTTGAACCAACTAGGTAAAACTTGGTCTTTATCATACCAGGACTAACCTGGGCCTAGCTCAACTTCATTGAGCATAGGTCAACACATACTTGAATAAATGAGAACCTACGCTAACTTATTGAATGTTGGAATTGGTCAAACTAGGCTTAACTTGGGCTTAAGACGAGTTTGTTCAACCTGTGCTAAATTAATTTGACTTGACTTGAGTCCAAATTGACTTAATTTGACCCACTTGACCTGATATAGAACCAATTTTCCACGATCTAAGTTTAGCCAATTAGGCTTAATTAGAACCCGAATTACTTGGTTTCAAGTTGGGCTCAAACCTAATCAAGATAAACTTGATTTGACACTGACTTAAAAAGACTTTACCCAATCTTATATGACTTTACCCAATCTTATATTAATATAGTACTATCCTACTTGAATCTAATCCAATTTAAGTTTTTATAACCTGAAAATAAACTTATTTAACATAAATTGAATTTTTTTTCAAATACAAAATGAATTGTATTTTACATCAATCAACATCAATATATTATTAATATCGATATTGTTTTTAGTTCTTAACAATTATTTGATATTTAGATAATTTTTTGAATTTAATAATAATGGAAATATTTTATAAAAAATTCACTAAATTTAAATTGTGTTATTCGGACAAAATATTTAAACAGTAAAAATAATTTAAAATGAGACCAATTTAAATTTAATGTATTTAAGTGTCTTAAAAATTATGAAATTTCCAAATAAATTTTTTTATAAGATTAAGCATGCATCTTGTGGATTTCTTAACTTGTTTGTTCATTATATTTTTCTTAATAAAAGGGTGTGAAGATTAATTATTTTGCCAACAACCAACCAACCTACACGCCTCCCTAATAGTGTATAACCCAATTCCTTTAACAAATTCGGTTTGATTTGACTTACAACTCCATTTCATGATGCGTATTATGTGGGATTATTTGGTGATGATAAAACCAATTAGTATTACTACCACGATTTTCTCTCTGATTATTGGATGATCAAATATTTCAAATTTTTATAACCATATAACATGTTTTCTGAGACAAAACTCCTGATTTTTTTTCAGTTTCATTACCATATGTGTAGAATTCACTCTTAACATATTCTGTTTTAATAAATATATCAACTTTGTAATTTTGTTTTAGTTCAAATTAAGCGGCCCATATTTAATTTGTTTTTCTTTAGAAAACAAATTAACAATAAAATTCAGTATCAATTTTTTAATAATAATTTGTGAACATTAAAATGTTGTTTACACATGGTAGAGAGAAAGAGAGAAAATGAACATAAATAATCTTCTCAAACCAACCACCATATATTAACCTAGCTGAAACCACATTAACAACCGTTTGATCATCCACCAAATCTAAACAAGCACATGCTTCGTTAATTTTGTGTCCATTGAACAGCAAAATATTGCATGAATATTTGATGTGTTACCCTGTGTTTGTGTGTGTGATAAAAAAAGACAAAAAGAAATACTTTGATGAACAGATCGATCCCTTTTATCTCTCTTGTTCACCAACCAACTTGGTTAAGGAAAATTTGTATGAGGTTGCTCATTGAAAGGGTTCAATGGAAGCAACGGCATTTGCCAACCTCATCACAGGTAGTTCTAAATTAACCAGAAAATACATATCAACAAAACTGTAGACAGACAGAGTCTTTCCATTTTCCTACTTTAAATTCCAAACTCAGATTGGTAGCTGGGATAGCAATGCCCTATTCAACATCTCTTATTTCCAAAAGAAATTAATTTTCCATTTTTCCATCATCATGCCATAGTAAAGTTATCTGTTTCTTTCTCATACAACACAACCCCAGCCCACTTGCTTCCGAGCCTTTCATGATTCTTACCTTTTGCAAGAAGTCAACATGCTGCAGAAAAATAAAAAACAAAAACTAAGTTCTCTCTCTGAGTATGTTATGAAAACTGATCAGAAATAAACAAATAAACAATGTGTTTGCCGTAAGCTGAAACTTACAAATAAGTAAAAATATGATTTTCTCAAAGTTAATACGAGAAAGCTTCATTTCTGAAAAAAAATATTGTTATTTTCTTCCTCTGAAACATTTACACAAACAGCAAAGAGACAACACACAAGACACATGAACAAAAGAGAGTGGTGGAACTTACTCCCATGGAACATCTCCAACTAGCATCCAGTCACCATCCTTGTCTTCATACGTAGGAGCATATTCAGACCCCTTATAACCCTCTCTTTCAGAGTACTCACCTGATCCAACAAAACCCAGTTCAGGTTATTTTCATTCAAACTTGTCTCATTCAGCACACCACAACAAAAGAAGACAGCAATGAAAATTGGTATCTCACCTATGGCCAACTTGAACATGGTTTCTAAAGCTTTGAGTAGTTCTGGATAACCCCTGTAGACTTTCAAGTCAATTTTTCTGAGGTAAGGTGCTCCATCCAAGCTCACTTTCACAAAGATCCCATCCCCCTCGCCCTCCTGCACACTGTTCTTCCTGTAGGATCTGATTGGTGGCCACCCCACTATCTTTGCCCTGCCACCCCAATAATAAACACATTCAATCCATTAACCTTAAAACTCAGATTCAAACAACACAACAAAAGTTATTAACAAACTGATTCCATTTTTGAAGTGAAGCCACCAGTACCAAACCAATTCAAACCTATTCTTCTACTTCTTTATGTTTTAAATACAAAAGAACTATACGAATTTCATACAAAGATTAGCAGAAATGGCAGATTCAGAGTTATGAAAAAAAAAGCACGATTCTTGAAAACTAATTTGGTAAACGTAACTTGGGTGGAGGAGCTGAAACGTCTCTACGTGTTGGTTGGTTGATGTGAAGTCATTGGGCAATTGGAAATGGAAATGGAGTCTTGAGAAGTTTTCACGGCACTTGTCTTTTGTTGTTTTTCTTCTAAGAACAGCATATGTGTACGCAGGTTCTTGTCTTCCTTTTCCTCTGTCCCTGGCAACCCTAATCTAAGTTCTGTTGCCTTGAGGTTCAGATCACTCTCAAATACCACTCTGCTTTCCATCTTTCTCTGTGACCACAATTTCCCACCACCAAAATATATTCCAAATCTTAATTATTCCTGTTGAAATTAAACGTTGAAATTGGAGCCTATTTTTATAGCAAGTCCCGAATAGGATGTGGGCCGTGGAGGTTACCCTTGTTTTTTTTCTAAAGAAAAAGACTAGTACCGCGAATTTTTTATACATCTTTTTAAACAATATACTTTTTTAAACGAAAAAAAAAAGTTGAATAGGTTTTTCTCTTTCATCACACGATTTCAAAGAAAAAACATTCGTTTTTTAAAGTAAAGCAACTAAAAAATTAGATATACCGTAGAAAATGATGTAAAAAAACTTATACAATTTAATAACATGTGTTTTTTTTTTCTTTTTTTTCACATAACTTTTCGTAGCAGTCACCGAGGCTTAAAGGAACATGTCCCCCGGTTGGAGGACAAACGTGGGACACACTCACCCACCTTTGGTCGGGTTGGGAGTGGATGGACGGTTGCGATGTGTTTGGGGGACAAATCGAAATAAGGAGCAGGTGCGTTGATTTGAAGGAAGCAGCGCATGTGAATGGAGGGACCTTGTGAGGGTTGGGCATCGTGGTAAGAACCACTCATGTGGGGCTGCTAATAGTGTGCTACATCCCTAAAATGATATATGAAACATAAATCACTATTTTAATTTCAAAATTTAATTTTAAAATAAAAAACTAACTTAGTTTCAAATCTGTGTGTAAATATGTTAGGATTTTTGGCTTTTGGGTCTATAACATAATATTAAAATAATAAATATAATTATAAAATAGTTTCACAAAATTCAAGATAATACAAAATTAAGGGCTATTACTACAGTTTGGAGGGTTAAATTTTGTAGCTACAAACATTAAGTTTATATGAGAAAACTACACACTTTGCTTAGAAAAAATTGTAAAGTCAAATGGTGAAATATATATATATATATATATATATATATATATATATATATCCACACACACATCATAGGTTCATTACCCTTTTCCAACTTGAGCCTCCAAATGTATGAGGCAAAGTTTGGTGTAAGCTAACAAAACATTTTAAAAGCTAGCAGATGCTGCAACCCAATTGTGATTCATAATTACTAAAATGAAACTGTTATTTGTTAGTTCATCTAAGTTTTGTTTTTTATTTTTTGTATACCTTAAAAAGATAGAAATTATTATGCTTTCTCTTAATGAAATGGGTTAATTTCGATAAAACATTTTTTAATAAAGTTTATCATTATTTTTTTATCTCTATCATTGTTTAAGACATATAAATAATATTCTTAAAAAACCTATGCATGTCACATATACACAAGTAGATAAAATAGTTTATTGACCAATTATTTAGAAATATTTGATAAATATCACGTCTTGTTGTATAATAAAAGAGATAAATAAATGATTTTGACATTGGAATTTGTTTTTAAAATAATTTTTAAAACTCAAAATTAAAATTTGTTTGTTTTAGTCATTTTTAAAATATTAATTGTTCCTGTGGGATCAAATTTACTTGTAATTTTTTAAAGTCTTTTGTTGTTTTTTTTTATTTTATGTTGTTCTTTTTTATGTGACTGACTGATAGAAATACCTGCAAAACCACTTTCATGTTTAACTTAGTGTTCAGTGTTAATAGGTATGATAAATATGTTAGATGTCAAAGTATTAAATGTCTCACCATTAAGTTATATTTATAGGCCTTTAAAGGGTTTTTACCATAATGTGGGACTAATGATGGTCTAATAACATTTTAATCTTGTTTAGTGTGCTAATATTATGATTAATTCAAAGGTTTATTTTCTTAGTGTTTAATCAGTTCCATCGATCGTTGCTTGAGGTATGAGACCGATCAGTTTGACTAGACTTATATTTTCTTCTTTCTGAGGTGGTATACACATTATTATCCCAAGCTTGAGTGCAAGGATGACGAGGCGAGGGGTTATACTGTTTTGCCTTGAGTGTGAGTTGTCTTTATTGTCGTCCACATTGTGTGGGAAGTC